AGTACATAAAAAACCTTAAGTAATTGATAGTGATTACAGATGTATGTTACCATAATTATTTATTTTCAGGTACATTACCAAAAACAGGTCAACATTTTTAATTTCATTTTTTTAAGACAGCTTTATCAGTGAGTCAACAGCTGCAATGGGCACAACATTCCTTTCCATCAAAGCATGACCTTATCACTTCCCCAGTAATTCATTAGAATAGTAATTAAAGATTTGCAAAAAAGAAACAAGTAGGAAATGTTGCAGTTGTCCTAATACTAGATATAAAAGTGGAATTGGCAAATGATATAGATCCTAATCCAGCTTCAATTAATCGCAGCTATTAGATTACATTCTAGGGAAAAGTATAATTTGGTTAAGCGAGTTTTTGTGTGAAAGGGGGGGGGGGCATATTTCAAATAAACTGGTAATTTTTTTTAAAAAAGATGGTCAAAATCAAATTGGTTCCTCGTCTCCGTCGGATGGACTAGTTCTGATATTTAGTTAAGCTATTAGAGCACTGTGATAGGCAGATTAATAAAAGTGATTGGTCAGGAGTCTCACTAGGATAAGCAGCACCCAGTACTTGCTCCGTATGTTGCTTATCAGGCTATCTTTGAATGGATAGTCTGCTAATGTGTTCGACGAGACGGGGAAACAAAGCTTGTCAAATAATCAGTTAAATTATATATGAATCAATTATTATTATTATTTAAAGATTTAATAGGTTGATATGAAATTGCAATATTGAATTTACTAGTACATAAGAAAAGTCAAAACCAAGGAGTTAATAATGTGTTGTCAAAACAATATTGATCCATTTATTTAAGGTACACTGACATTCAATTTTAAGCTAATCTGGTAAGGGATATCCAAGATATCTCCAGAAGTATGCCTTATAAAGTATACCAGTTTTTTTCCACCGCACATACCCATGGACAAAGAGTTGCAACGTACTCAAGAATTTGTTTTCTCGGATATTTTATTGTGTTTATCTATTTTATTGCACACCTATGTCAGTGTCTAATGGGGATTTAAGCCTTGAAACTAATTTTATCATTCTGTTTAATTTTTACCAAATACATGTATAATTGTGTGTAATACACAATGGTCCACGATTATACCTTAAATTTCCCAGAAATAAAACTACTCCCTTACAGATATTTTTTGAATGCTCAGAACACTTAGTATCGCAATTACCTCGAATTGTATAACTTACTGCGGCTGTTTTGCAATAAAGTCAAGAAACTTATAAATCTCCATTCATTTTCGGGGCATAACATGTTGTTTACATATATTGTTTACGCTAGTGACAATTGAATGATACGAACAATAAGTATGCCGAAGGTACAATGTAATGCCGATGGTTGCACTTCAGAAAGCAAGTCAAAGTATTCGGAATATTTAGACTTCCAAAATAACGTTTATCAGAAAGAAAATGATTAAACTTATTATTAGAATAGTCTACTTAGCGGGAAATATCCACAAAAAATTAACACAAGAGAGCTAGCATTTTAATTTCATAGCGTGGTGCAACGAACATTTAGCTAGGTATTTCACCAGGGCTTCTTTCTTATATTATATGTCCCTTAAGAATCTGCAGTGATCGATCTCATAGTGTAGTCAATAGCTATAGCACATTGTCCTCAGCTATTAATCAACGTTTTTACCTTCAACGCAAAAGAGTTTCATTACGTTAAGTAATAGCGATATAAAGTATTCTTCCTTTTGTTTGAAATAGGTTAAACTACCCTTATGGCATGAGGTTATATAAAACTAAAATTAGTCGTACTTTAAAACACTAAATAGGTGATGATTAAATTAATAAGCCTTGGCAGTTATTTTTAATTAAAACAGTTTAACGATTCGAATGTAGTTGCAAGTACTTCCATGACCAGTCATAAAAGGTGTTTATCCTTTTTTCAGGGAAACTTCGAGCAGGTTTAGTCAGAATTGGATACGGCATATCATGCCCATATGTTTTATTATTTGTAGAATACAAAATTTAAATCTCATTCACTACAATTGGGGAGCAACCGCTAAAGCACATTTGCCACCAACATGCAGGGGGGTTATTTTAGCTTTGAAACGCTGGCTAAAAAATGTACATGTTTAGGCATCCATTAAGTAGTTGTTACAAGGCTCACATATTTTTACTTTCTTTCATTTCAATGATTTATTTTTTTTTTTTTTTTAATTTTACTATGGATTATAGTTGTTTGATAAATTGTGAAGAGGAAATATGATTTATGCAGCTGGGGAAATGAGAAGGGGGGGGGGGTTAAGTACACAAATATTGTTTTTAAAAGTATTCTAAGTTCAGAGATGACGTAAATATCTCGTTTTTGTTCAATTTGGGTCTGATACACTCCACACTTTTTAGTACAACTATAACCAATACTTGCAAAGATAGTTTAAATTTTTATAAAAGCCATAAAAATGCGTAACAGGAGTAACAACCTAGTAGGTAAGTAATACAATAAAATAAACCAACGGGACAGGGAATAGAGTGCAGGTATGGATCCACAATTTTAGATTAAACCGGGAGTTATTTTATTCTCACAAGTCCATAATTGCATTTCAACACATATAACGGAATAGGTCAATGACCGTTGACGATTTAAATTCATATTTTGTTTTAATGCATTGAATAGTAATTGACTAATAAGTCACTTGTTTTATAAGTTGTATTGGTGAATGAGCAGGCCCTGGTCGACGGTGACCATTTGCGTTGAGGTACTGCCGCCGTCACCATGGTTCTTGGCACCCCCATTGGTGGCGGTTGCAGTTCCATTCTTACTCGTGGTAGACACGAGTATTCATGGCCCTTGCAAGTGGCGTATTCCGTCGCACCTCAACGCAACTGGAGGAGTGCAACACATATTCTTACGCTCATTCCATTGTTTATCCTATTGCACATGTAAATTGAAATTCAGGATTTGAATTTGTGCATTGGCTTGTAATTGACAAGCAGTTGACTTGATTGATATTGAATTGATTGATTGAATGATGATTGATTGATTGAACTTGATTGATTATTGATTTATTGATTGAACTTGATTTATAATTGAATTGGTGACGTTCATGCACTTGTGACCTACCCAGTGCATGATCCGCCCGATTTGGGTCGTCACATTTGTTGTATTGATTGTTGATTGTGGGGCAGCCCTGTGGTAGCCCCAGCAAATTGATCACCGCGGCCAGAAGCGCCACATTAAACAAGCAAAATAATATCTGTTGTTTGTTTGATTAATAGGGAATCTGTAATAATACCACTTATACGAGCCTGGTCTCGGATAAGTGAGTTTATTTCAGTAACCCTAGTAATATTTATCTATTCCGGATAAGTTACGTACATTCGGATAAATATAAATTTTCACCCTTAGTCACAAGCTATCATTCCGGATAATTTAGGTCCATTTGTATATAGTCTAATAATAAGTTCTTTTCTACCTCCTTTCTAGAAGAATCAATTAAACGGTAAGGTCATGGAAAATTTTTGGGAGTTAAATTGTGGCAATGTTTTAAATTTTACCCACCCACCCTCCTCTTGTTTTTAGAACAAATACTGCTGCTTTTTGTTATGTCATTGTAGCTGAAGACTGCCTGCTTCGCCCAGCTTCCACAACAGCCTATGTCGCGGTGGTGGATTATGTGTGTTCGGATATTATATGTACGTAGGGACGGCTTGCTTGGTCCAGCACCTACATCAGCCGATGTGCCGATGGTGAATTTTGTGTGTTTGCTCATTCCGTAAATACAGCCTGATTGGTCCAGCGTCCACATCAGCCTATGTCAAGGTGGTGAATTCTGTGTGTTTACGTATTCCGTGATGACTGCCTGCTTGATACAGCGTCCACTTCAACCGATGTCGCGGTGGTAATTCTGTGTGTTTGCGTATTCCGTCGCACCTCAACGCAACTGGAGGAGTGCAACACATATTCTTACGCTCATTCCATTGTTTATCCTATTGCACATGTAAATTGAAATTCAGGATTTGAATTTGTGCATTGGCTTGTAATTGACAAGCAGTTGACTTGATTGATATTGAATTGATTGATTGAATGATGATTGATTGATTGAACTTGATTGATTATTGATTTATTGATTGAACTTGATTTATAATTGAATTGGTGACGTTCATGCACTTGTGACCTACCCAGTGCATGATCCGCCCGATTTGGGTCGTCACATTTGTTGTATTGATTGTTGATTGTGGGGCAGCCCTGTGGTAGCCCCAGCAAATTGATCACCGCGGCCAGAAGCGCCACATTAAACAAGCAAAATAATATCTGTTGTTTGTTTGATTAATAGGGAATCTGTAATAATTTGATTTAATCAGCAGTGAAAAATATCTTTTGTAAATTATTGAACTACATGATATTTTACACCAGAACTTATTTTTATACCCCGTCCCTAATCGAAGATTGAGGGGTATATAATTTTTGTAATGTCCATTCGACTGTCTGTCTGATATTCTGTTTGACTGTTTGTTTGTCTGCAAAAACCTTAGCCTAACCTATTGCTTTTGATTGGTTGGGGGTATGACTTTCATATTTAACAAGTTAATTTTTTGTGACAAGACCTTTGATTGGTACCCTTTATTTTTATCTCTTGACCTTCGAGTTTAAAGTTTAACCTTGTCCTTGAGCTGCGGGCATCAGTGTTTCACAAAAACTTCTTGTTCCTTAATATTTTTAAATTAACACATCTTAACACACTTGTTGCAGTTTGAAATTTTTGCTGAATTATTGTGTTAGAGAATCTAAAAATCTATACTTAATCACGGATTTTTCGCAGAGGAAAAAAACCCAGTGGATATTACGGATTTTCATTTTAAATAGGAGTTGGAGAGGAGACATATCTACATAGACAGATTTTGTACCAGTTCCCTGTGTGATTAAACCATCAATCAATATTGCCGTGGAAACATTTTTTGTGATATTGCAATGTATTTACCTTATTAATATATATGTGTTTTCATAGAAACTGAAAAGAGTTCTGGAAAAAAACTGAAAAGAGTTCTGGAAAACAAGTATAACCATGCAAACCGCAGTTTTACCACTATTAGCCACCATCCTCCTGTGTCCCGTAAAGGAAATTGAAGCTGGTATGTTATTTATTGTCTCTTTTACTGGTGTCCCTGCTTATGTAATTCATGATCCATATTTATCAAAAACCAGAATTGTCAAAGTTATAATACATATCATAAACACAAGAGACGGTCGTGGGAAAGAATAGTCATGCACGAACCAGGTCACTATCTTTCAATGAAGTATCACCATTATCATTATCATCATCACTTTTATAAGTATTTGTATGATTAAAAACCTAATGAGCATTAAAACTGTACTTCAACAGTGAGTCTATTATGGCGTCATTTGCAATTCACGTCATCTTATGCAAAACAGATTACATATTTGACATAACAACAGAGTTCAAATTTTCAGTGATAAACTTAGTTTTCTTTTCTTTTTTTTTATTTACTCAAAAATACATATATAATTATATCTGACCACCTACATGTGGCAGGTGGCTTAATTTTGCTATTATGCATGCGTCAAAATTTAATTTGAAATAGACTTCCCTTAAAAAAAATTGATGTGCAGAAAATAAATTTGAATTTAATTTATTTGCATCAACATGTACTAGTATTTCTTTCATTGAGCGCTGTACAAATTTAATTCACAGTAACTTATATTTTATTTGAGTTGACTTCTCCCTGTGAACTGAGCAAAAACTTTTTGTGGCAACGACCAAGTGCCTCTGATCACTCTTCTAAATGGTATTAAATGTTTGTTGAAAAGAACATATTAGGAAGTTTAATGCAGAGGATAGGCATCGACGCATACCTTTATATACCAATATCGCTGCACAAGAGCCGAATATGAAACAAATATGGCAGATTCTGTAGTGTCCTTCATTTCAAGTTCAATGTAATATGCGACATATGAATGGAAGTAACTATTGTTAATTGATAATGCGTCGTCGATTTATCTAACTGTCGACTTGCAAATCACTGCAAGTGTTTCGTCTTCTTGAGTAGAAAAGTAAAAAAAAAATCTGCTCCATATGAATATAAAATCAGGTCGACTAATAACGGAGCACAACAAGTGCCCATCGACATTCCAACAAATTAATTAAACAACAAAATACTTTCTTTGGTTGTTAGTACGCTGATTCCCGTATTAACAGACTAAGAAAGACTTTTTATTGTTTATATTTATATCTGTTAGAATTAATCATTTAAAGTAAGATTTCGTAGATGAAATATTGTATTATTGTTATGTACGTCATTGTAGTTTCATCGATGGAACAGTCACTGCTCAAGAAATCTGTAGAGGTGATATGGTTATTGCTGTTTACTGCCTAAAAACGGCAATGATTTTCTTAAGAAATAAGGGAGATACTATTCAGGTGATATATATATATTTATGAAATATGAAAGTTTTGTAATTACTTTTAAAAAACAGATTGTGGAGACACTGAAGCCGACATTGTCTTTATTTTGGATGCCAGTGGAAGCGTTCAGAGAGGAAATTTCGAGAAAATGAAAGAGTTTTTTAAGGCAATGGTGGAAGGATTTCAAATAGGTTATGAGAACGTCAGAATTGGATCTATTACATATAGTAGTTCTGTACAAGAAACATTTGAGCTAACGAGTTTTACTGATAAAGCTAGTCTGAAGTCCAGAATTTCAAGTATCATTTATACTGGAGGAGGTACAAACACAGCAGCAGCGATTCGGTATGCTCGAACAACCAGCTTTTCTCCACAGTATAGCAGACCTGATGTTCCAAAAATAACTGTTATTATAACTGATGGTCAGTCAAACGACAGGTATGCTACATTGTCTGAAGCCGAATTATTGCGCAATAGTAGCGTAATCATCTTTTCCGTCGGTGTTGGTAGCGGAGTGGATAAAGCTGAACTCAAGGGAATGGCGTCAAACGAGAGTTATGTATTTGACGTGTCGACTTTTGATGCTTTGGACAGTATTCGGGATAAGCTTTCTAAAACCGCTTGCGAAGGTAACAAGATAGATAAAAATATAATTTTAGCTGCTGGTATGTCTTGCTATCAATTTATATGCCTGTTGATAGTGCAAAAAATAAAAAAAAAATAATAATCATAGATATATAAATACAATAGATAATCTTTTTTATAGCATTGTTCTTTTTCCTCCTCAGTATGTTGATTTTACATGAAAGGGTGATAGTTGAATGATAAATAAATGTAATACATGTACTTTGCTATGCAACTTATTGACATATGGGTGAATTTAAAAAAAAAAGACCAAACACATATTTTTCAACCTGTACTAAAAGTCCAGGCAATGGAGATAAATTTTTATGTCTCAGCATATGTCTTTTTATATAGTGTCTAAACACCTGCCAAATATCTCATTGATATCTCAATTCACAAAAAAGTTGTGCCCAAAAATGATGCTTAAAATGTAAGGAGTGCAACACCTTTTTGTGATATTTTGAAAATTCAATATTTTTTGAAGTCTGTGAAATAAATAATAATGGTTTATGATGGAAATAAAGAATTTCCTGATAATATTCAAAGTATCGAGCTATAAATGTAGACTTTTGTTTGACAAAGTTGTGCTTATGGCTGGTGTTGAAAATTTTTTATACCATGTCAGGAGTGCAACAGTAAACATGTTGTGTTGCAACAAAAACAAAAAACAAAAAAAAAAAAACAAAAAAAAAACAAACAAAAAAACACATCGATTTTAAAAAATCTGAAAGATAATTAAGTCCAAAAAGAATTTTCAAAGTGTAAAACAATAACTGATGTACAATTTAAAACTTAAAAATGAAAATCACAAGCAGCATTAATGAGTCAAGTATCTGCATGTGCATACCCAATAATGTCAGGAGTGCAACACCTAATGTTTTGCTCCCAAGCATGAAAAAACGTTTATCAGTATATGGTTCTCTGATTTTTATTTTGGGAAATAAAGACACAAAGAACATTTTACCAAATAGATTTATCAATTAAAGGGTATGTCTGTGTTTCAGATCTATATTTCTGTGGTCAGGAGTGCAACGCATTTTTTTAAAGATTCAAGTTATATGATGAAAAAGACTTCTACTCATGTTAAGAAATAATCTTTAATTAATAATGATCTGTTTGAATAATTTAGTACTAAATTATTGAGAGTTTTATTATTAAAATCCTTCTCTTTTTCAATTTTATCAGTTCAGATGTTTTTTTTTTTTAAATTTTTCTTTGATTTGTTTTAAGAATGTAAAAACTGAAATATTGTTATAAAGTTCAAGTATATTCACATCAACTTCACTGTAACAATAGAACAAGTTCTGATAAAAATTTTCGCTTCACAATTGTACTTTAAAGACTCCCATATACTATAAAATATTTTTTATCATCTTAAGATATATTTTAGCTAATTTTTTGACATAAATAGGGAATTATTCAAGATATAAGGCCAGGTTTAAGTACTTTCATCTGTTTTAATTATGAAGTTTTGGACTATAAATATTGCACAATTTCGTTACCACTTGATGTTGCCATCACTTCATGAATGTTTGTGTTCTATGGTTTTAATTTTTAATTTTATTGCAGTCAGGAGTTTAGCAAAACAGTTTTATAATTATCAATGATCTTCATCTATCTTTACTAAAAAATAAATTGAAAAAAAATGTTTGATACTGTATGATGTTCAAAACATTATGTTTATCAACTTATTAAGGACATTTTACAGTCAATTCTGAGAAATTTTTTCATGACTTTACATATTTTTAAATACACTGTTTATATATTACACAGTGCAAATAATCATGTTTTGAAGTCTTGAAAAAACTTGCTGTAAATGATAAAGATGTCAAAACGACGAACAGATTTACAAACTAAGAATGGGTTATTGTTTGTCATTATTTTTAAAACAATGTTAAATAAAATCGGATATCAGATGTCAGGAGTGCAACACAAAAATGTAACATAGAGTCACTTCAAAATATAGTATTTTTGTAAGAAAACGTGTATGTCAGACTCTCTTTACGCTTAAATTTAAAGAACTGACTGAAATGGACAAAATGGATAAAATTATTTTGGGGGAATTTTATTGTTTCATATTTCTTTCATATTAACATTTTTTTAAAACGAGAATTGAAAAAATAATGTAAAATAACAACCAAAAAGCCAATTTTTCCCCCATATATACAAGAGAAGAAACTCAATCAAGTTTTAGATCTAATCATTTATATCCCTGATACCATTGAGAAGCATAAAAGACTATAATTTCTTTTGATTATGTATTTTAGAAAGTCTCTTAGGATATAGTGATATTTAATTTTTCCAAATGAAGTTTTACTAATAAAATTTCTGAAACTTTTTTATCCAATTGCCTATTCTCTTGCAACTTCAGGAATTTTAATTAGGATGTACGCACAATAAATTGATATAAGTGAAAAATATGTTATGGGTAGTTGAATTTTTTTTTAAAAATTCAATTTGGTGGTCATTTTTTTTTAAAATTCACCCATATACTTATGCCGATATCAAAATCTACATTGTTTTCATGATTTGGCTAGTTATGTCCTGTGGACACCCTGGAACGCCATTCAATGGATATCTGAATGGGAGTGAATTTTTCCGAGGAAAAAATGTTACTTACAGCTGTAAACAGGAATATAAGCTCAAAGGTGACAGCCAGAGGACATGTTTAAGTAATAAAACATGGTCTGGAAGCATTCCCACTTGCATATGTAAGTTTTAGCTTTAAAGATATTTGATAAATTGTCAAATAAATCCAAAAGAAAAAAACCCCACAAGAATGTATTATGTGAAATTCATTAATTAAATTTACATGTACCATTAAATATTCTTAAAATGTACACATGTAAACTTGAATTTGTAAATTGTAAATCAAAATTTCATAATTTGTTCTATCACACTTTCTTAATTGTTACGATAACTATTAAACATGGTCACGTGTAATTTGTAGACTTGCCATTTGTCAACTTGTGAAATGTAAAATGTACTTTCGTGATTTGTAAATTATGCAAGGTTGCATTATGCAAAAACCAATTAAGACGAAAGATGTCGCTATAAGTGTGTCAATCAAGTAATTTCGCCTCAGAGGTAAAAGAGATCTTAAACTGAATAGAGTTTCGTAATATGCATGCATATTATGCCTTCAAATGGTCTCTAAAGCTGTTTACAAATAAGATCGTTGAATACAGAAAAAAAGGTAGGGTATTTCTGATCTTCTGCACAAAGTGCCGTTCTTCGTATAAACAGAGGGATGCCGAGGGAAAAGTAGCGAAAAGAACAGGCGCAAAGTACCGGAGGAGGACTCCCCTTTTTCCTGAACATAATGTTTTACTGTAAACCACAACCACCCCCCCCCCCCGATTTTTCTGATAAAGTATTAATTATTTTTATGGGTGCCCTTTTCAAAATTGATGCTACTATCATTAAGTTTTTCATACTAATTGTTAGGCCATTATTGACACACTGAATTGTCGACGGATTTTTCAGTTATTTACCGATCATGACGAGGAGCACACGGCGTTTGTGACCGATCGACAGGAGATGCTCACTCTTCCATGGCACCTGATCCCACATCTGATATTTTTGGAGGTCCGTGTTTGCTCTGCTCCCGATTTGTATTGTTTTAATGGACTGAATATTGTTTGTTATCTCCATATTTCATGCATGAAGACTAGATTATTTTTCCAGTGTTCTGTTTTTGTGTGTCCGCTGAGCCCAAGGCTAGAAAGTGTGTTTTATTTTGTCTCTTTGGAGTGCATGGAAGAAACTACATGAAAATCTACAAAAAATGCTTCATAAACCTCTGGGATACATTTGGGTTTGGGTCTAGAATAAACCGAGTAATGTATACAAACTCATGAGCGGCTGCAAAGAGGGGCTTCTCCCCTTCTTATATGGGTGTTAATCTCAGATCTGACGGAATATTTTAAAATATATTAACGATTATTTTTAAACGCAAAATTAGTCATCTGTTTTGAAGAAAACAGATAGGAAAAAGCACTTAATGCATAATCACTTCTTATAATATTCAATTTAAATTTTCTGTATATACCACAGGCACTTGGGGTCTGGACCCCCCCCCCCTCCCCCTTTTCCATTTTTTTTTCTTTTTAACTATGGAGTCGATTCACCTTTTTCCTATTTTTGTATTCTAATATGCACTATATGTTATCAATAATGTAACTCTTTTGTCTCTATATGCTGTTTTTAAATATACCGTTTTCGACTGATACATAAAAAGAGAGAAGGCTTGCAACTCTTTTCTCATCGTCTGCCTCACCTCGCTTAAACTTCGCCTGATTATTTATCGAAAGAATAAGAAAACATGGAATATGCATACATCATTAAATTCGTTATACATTCTTCTTTCTTTTCATATTTCCATTTAATTTTTATGTGCCCCCGATTTGTAAATATTTCGATTAAATCATCCGCATCTAGGGTAAATTTTGTTGATGTGCACCAGCTGGGACGGAAGTGCCCGGTATTTTCGGGTATCATCATTACATGTAATGTAATTCGGAACATTAAATGCGAGAAGGAATACATCCCGAATTTTCTCTTCATATAACATGTAACGGTAAGTTCTGTGAATAACAAGATAACTTTAACTAGCAAATTTTAATGGATGAAGATTATACTTTAAATAGACGACCTAGACAACCAAATTCCACAATATTGTTATTACAAAGCCTGGAATTTTTTTTAATGCAGAACATTTATAAAGTTAGAGTTACCGTTATTGCACTTCCGTCCCAGCTGGTGCACATCAACAAAATTTACCCTAGATGCGGATGATTTAATCGAAATATTTACAAATCGGGGGCACATAAAAATTAAATGGAAATATGAAAAGAAAGAAGAATGTATAACGAATTTAATGATGTATGCATATTCCATGTTTTCTTATTCTTTCGATAAATAATCAGGCGAAGTTTAAGCGAGGTGAGGCAGACGATGAGAAAAGAGTTGCAAGCCTTCTCTCTTTTTATGTATCAGTCGAAAA